CCGGAGTGCGGAGCGAGGCTGTTAACTCCGGGGACGTCCGCCCCCTGACCCGATGGTGTCCTGCCTGCGGACGGGCAAGTGCCTTCCTGGGGCTCACCTGCTCACGGGGCCTCTGGAGCCGAAGCGCAGGGGCCTCCTCGTCGGGAGAGACGCCCCCCTGCAGCCGCCGGGCGGCCCACGCGAGGTGCACGGCCGAGGCCACGTGTCTGCTGCCTCGTCGTGGTTTACACACGTGTGAGCGTGTGATGTGACTGTTTTCCTCCTGATTAACAAGCACACTCGCGGTGGGGGTCGGAGGTCAGGTGACGGAGGTCGGGGGTCAGACGCGTGGGACTCGCCAGCCCCTCCCCTTGCCTCGGGCACAGCCGGCACCGCGTACGTGCGGCCCAGAATTCAGCCCTGAGCAGGGTTTCGAGTGGGCGTCATTTCAGGACTCGCTCTTGTGCCGCCGGGAAAGGTTGGCCCTGAAGTCCCGGTTCAGGGCCTGGGACACCCACGGGGACATGCCTGTGGGCGGGGCCTGGGACACCCACGTGGACATGCCTGTGGGCGGGGCCTGGGACACCCATGTGGACATGCCTATGGGCGGGGCCTGGGACACCCACGACCAGCACACCCGTGAAGGACGGCTGGTGACCACTAGACGCTACCAAGGCGCCCGTGGCTGACGAACCTCTCAGCTCTACTTACAGCCCCTTTCCAACAGCTGTTTCCTGAAACGTAAACACCTCGGGCTGCGAGCATTACGGGGAGAATGTTCAGTCCTCGATCGCAATGAAGAAATGTCCTCCGGGCGCCCACTCCTTCACGTGCCTCTGGGCAGCCTCAGCGGGAACTGCTTCTGGTGCACGGACTCCGCAGGGCTCCCCAGAGACAGGGAGCCGGTGAACAGTGTGATGGTTCGCACTTACATTCCTGTTCAGACTTGTGTCTGTAATGAGGGCTTGGATCACCTGACGTGGAAGCCGGAGGCTCTGAGGGCGGATGGGTGAGTTCTCAACGGAGTCTGGAGCCTGAGCACGGGGGCCAGTGGGCTGGGCAGCACCCTGAGGGTGGGAGAATGCCGATGTTTCAGCTCATCAGTCAGGGGGATGGGAGAGAGGAGAGAGAGAGAGAGAGACAGAGAGAGAGAGGAGAGAGAGAGAGAGGAGAGAGAGAGAGAGAGAGAGAGAGAGAGAGAGAGAGAGGAGAGGATCCTCTCTTCCCCTACTTTTTAAATTCTGTTCAGACCCTCACCTGATTAGACAAGGCCCACCCACAGGGGAAAGCATCTGCTTCCCTCCGTCCACTGACCCCCAGAAACACCTTCACAGACACCCCCGGGAACGCTGCGGGACCTGGCCCCTGGGCTCCCTCGGCTCCGACCCCTCAGGTCAGCGTCCGTCTCATATCCGCACCCTCCCTGAGTCTCTGAGTCACGGCCACCAGCGCCCACCATCGTTTTCCCGGAGGGTCCATTTTAAAGTATAATCCGAGCTCCGACCCAGGCCGCCCGCTCCGGATGTCTTCATGACATTTTAAAACAGGGAAACGGGGCATCAAACACCCAGTTCAAAAGGTTTCACGGGCGATGAATGACCTGGGGGCTCCGTCCGGAAGACCTTTCTTTGGCAAATATTTTTGGGACGTAAAGCTGATCAGATAAACGGCCTCGACTTCAGGTTTCTTTCAATCTATATCTTAAATTCAGATCCTGCAAAACTGTGGGCTTTCTCCAGGCTGCTCCCTCCATCCTGACACGGAATAGACTAGTAAACGCAGCTACTTAACCTAGAAACTGTCCCCCGAGAGCCCCCAGGTCAGGGGCTTGCAGGGTTTGCATCAGCCCCGCTGGCCGGTCTCCCGCTGTTGCTCTGCGCCGTTCCCCACGATTCTGCATAAACTAAACGTCAGTGCTCTGCCCGCGGCTCTCCGTTTGCTAAAAGCTTTAAGAGCCGAGCTCTGCGACGCCCATTGTTTGAATCCTCTGATGGGAAAGTTCCTTTTCGATTGATCGGGGACACAATGCAACGTGCATCTGAAGGTTTTACAAAACAGCTCAATACCGGGCCGGGGCCCGTAGGCGAACGGACAAAGCCGTGCAGCGGAGCCTCCGCGGTTCTGAAATCGGATTAAATGGCAGCACCGGGCAGACAGCGGGCGGCTGTCCTCGCTCAGCTCACCTCGCCGAGATGGGAGGAGGCCCCTACGATGAGTGTGTGGAAATGGACCTCAGCGTGGACAACGGGGGCTTTGGATCAGTTATTTGTGCTGCGTGACAACATACCCCAAACAGAGCCACTAAAAACACAGTTTCCACCCGGCTGGTGTGGCTCAGTGGTTGAGCATCCACCTACGAACCAGGAGGTCAGGGTTCGATTCCTGGGCAGGGCACATGCCCAGGTTGCGGGCTCGATCCCCAGTAGGGGGCGTGCAGGAGGCAGCCAATCAGTGATTCTCATAATCGATGTTTCTCTCTCTCCCCCTTTCTCTATAAAAATCAATAGAAACATATTTTTTTAAAAAAGATTTGGGGTCAATTTAACCTTCTCTCTGAAGGACGGTGGGGCTCAGCCGTGCTCTGGAGCCCATGAGAAACGAACTTAGCGCATAGTAGGTTGTTTTCCATCCACATTAGATACTTCTAAATCCGACCCCCAGCCTCACCCTCCGCCCAGCGAACATCCAGAGATCCGCGTGCACCTGGGGCGGGAGGCAGCTCCTGCCTGGACAGTCACACCTCACCTCCCGCCCGGAATTCCTCCGCTCGCCAAGTGCGCCCGCGCCTCCCCCCACGCCGAGTCCTTGAGCTTCTGTTTATCAGCGAAGCACTCAGCGAGCTGCAGCTTCTGAGAACGGCCGCGGGGTCCCCCCCCCGCAACCCCGTAATCATTTCCTCGATGCTCTGTGATCCTTAATTACCTCGCCATCGATCTCTCTGCCTGGGAGCATCTGGCTGCTCCGGGGACGCGGCGGCTGATGGAAAATCCAATCGAGCTCGCACATCCCCCAGCCCCGGGCCGCTCACGGGTACCACAGTGGCTGCCGGGCGCTCCCCTTACAGCCCAGCCTCTGGGAGCCTCTGCTCAAAGTGGCCACGTGCTGAGCACGGCCCGTGTCTCCCAGGGCCCATGGGAGACGGGGTGGGGCTCCCCCGTGGGGAAGGGGGGGCTGGGTGTTTTTAGCCTCAACAAGTGCAGCAGGGGAACCAAGATGTCCGTGTAGGTAGGGAACGTCCGTTCTCGCCGCCTCCCTCAACCACATCAGAATTACAACTAACACAGAGCCACCCTCACTCAGACCGCCTGAGAGCTGGCTGAATGGATGTCCTACAGCTCGAGACGCCAGTGAGAAAGCACATGGGGGCTGAGGGAGGGGCGGAGGCAGGCTCGGGCTGGCCGGGCACCCCCCGGGGCCGCCTTTGTATTTTAAATATATTTTTATTGATGTCAGAGAGGAAGGGAGAGGGAGAGGGAGAGAGAGACATCCATGATGAGAGAGAGTCATGGACCGGCTGCCTCCCGCACGCCCCACACTGGGGATGAAGCCCACAACCCGGGCCTGTGGCCTTTGACCGGATTCGAACCCGGGACCCTTCGGTCCACAGGCCGACGCTCTATGCACTGAGCCACACCGGCCGGGGCCCCACAAGCCTGCCATTGTCCTTGACGGAAGGAAAAAAAAAACCTGGCTAAAACATCCGCACTCTCCGTCGCCTCAAACCAAACCGCTTCATAATAAAAAACAAAATCACTCCATTGTGCGCAGCCCCGCGGCTTCTGGCGTTCATCGCCCGGACGCTTTCATAGGCTCCGCGCACACGGCCGCCAGCGCCAATGGCCCGTAATCCCCGGGAATGGGACTCGCAGATTTCCTTTCTGATGATGAAAAGGCCCCGCTTCGGGGAGAGCGGAGGGGGCGGCGGCGTTTCCACGGCGAAGGTCATGAGGGAAGGTCACTCGTCTGCTGGCAACGACTCGCCCTCGTGCCACTAGCCCGGGGGGGCGGGGGTCAGTCCGAGCAGAGCTGGTCCTCCATCCTCAGGCCCCCGCCGGGCTGGCCACAGGGCTGACCAGGCACCTGCCCGTCACTGGGCCCCACCCCTCTGCCTGGGCCCCCTGCTGGGAGGTGCCCCCAGGGCCTCCGGGGCCAGCCGTGGAGCTAGTGCGGCCGCGGGGCCTCCTCCCCAGGAGCCACGACTGGGTGGGATTTTTAAAAATATTTGTATTTTCCGTGAATCCTCACCCCAGGATGGTTTCCCATTGGTTTTCTTAGACGCGAGTGAAACGGAGGGAGAGACACAGAGAGAGACGTCGATGTGGGGGAGACACAGCAGGGGATTGTCTCCTGCACGGCCCCGGCCAGGATACGCCCCGACTGGGGGTCCAGCCCGCGACTGAGGGACGTGCCCTCCACTGGAATTGAGCCCGAGGCCCTTCAGGCTGCAGGCTGGCTACCCACTGAGCCACACTGGCCCGGCCCGGCTGGATTTTCGTCCTTCATCTCCCCTCCCTGTGGGGACCCTCGCGCTACCTCCAGTGGGCTCCACCCCCCACCCCCAGCATCCGATCCTCTTGTATCAAGGAAACGTCTGTTAATTACGCTTAACTATGAGCACTTGACCTTAGCTTCGGAGGAAAATGAAATCTGAGGGCAAAACCCGTGAGGACAGAGCCAAGACGCCCACAGAGGTGACCCTGGCCATTTTAATAAAATCTTTACAGCGCTTGTGGCTCCTTTTAAAATTGGAAAAATAATTTAAAAGTCATATTTCTAATGGCACCCTTTCAAAATATGATGCAACCACGAAAAAAAAAAATCATACGCTCCATTAAAAGCAGCGGCGGACCGATGAGACGGCCTCGTCTCCGTTTTATTTCCGGGAAGAAGGGGCTTCAGGGCTTTTATTTTTTTCCACTTTATTTCTCCTACCGTGTCTTCGCCTCCCAGATCCGTGCAATAACGGGAATTGCTTTTTCTGTGTGTCTGTTTCATGACGTTTTTTTAACACAGGAACGTGGAGGAGAGGCTTGTATCCGTGTAATAACCGAGACCACAGTGTTCGGAGAGGCAGGCGTGGGTCCGAGTGCTGACCCTGTGACGTCCCCGCCGTGACCTTGAGAAGGATGCTCTGAGCCTGTGACCTCCTCTGTGATCTGGGGGTGGGGGTCACACGGCCCCGAATAAGTGCAGGGCGCCGTCGCTGATGGCAGTGTCTGAGGGAGGAGGACTCCGGCTGCCCTCAGGGTCGCGGGTCCCTGAGCCGACGCGCTCAGCGGGTCAGAGTGGACCCTGGCGTCCCTGCCCGAGGCCGGCAGCAGCCGGTTTCGTCGTTGAACTCGGGGCAGAAATGAAGAAACATCAGGGTCGGACCCGGCCCGAACCCCCTCCTCCCTTATGTGAGCCTCACCCTGTAAAGAAATAGATGGGCTCGCTGGGTGGGGAGCGAGGTTCAGGGACGGGCGGGGAGCACACAAAAGGGGTGATGGATGGCTCTCTCACTATCCCCGGGGTCGTGGCGGGGGCCTCCTGGCACCCCGATGAAGAAAACAGGAACCCCGTCAGCTCCTCACAGGAAGAACGGGCGCTGGCAAGGTTGTGGGGTGGGGTTCCCCTGGGGAGGGGGGGTGCGGGGGCGTTTCGGCCCCTCCAGTCTAAGCCGCAGAGACAGAGAGCGAACAGTGACTGCCTGGGGCCGGGGGTTGGAGGGAAGTGGGGAGCGAGGCTAATACGAAGGAGTTCCTTTGGGGGACGACGACAGTTTCCTAACATTCCTGGAACGAAGGGCGCCCAGCTCTGAAAGCCCCCCAACCGCCGTCGAACCGAGCATTCCACACGCGTCCGCGTCACGTACGCGAATCACATCTCCACGAAGCCGCGCTTTCCAAGAAATGGCACCATCTGACCTTCCACCCCAAGAGTCCTCTTCCCACAGCCACCCCCAGCCACCGCTGTGCCCCCGACACCGCCCAGAGCAGCATGAGCACAAACGCCGTGCAAACAACACATAAAAGTAAACCTTTTCCCGGGG